TGAATTAGGAATTCAAATTACCGATATTGACAAGCTAGAATATAAAATAAGAGCCTCTTATTTTCTAAATTTGCTAAGATATTACTCATGTAATAAATCAAACACAGTGGTACCCTGCCCACCTCTTTCCATTTTTGGAAATGCTCCTTTACATACACTTACTTCTATATATGACATGAATAACCAATCGGAAACTCAGAATGTCTTCCTAGTGACTTTCTCAGCCATTTTAACGGGCTTGGCATTTCTTTATTTTGAATCAATATTTCAACAAGGTAGGGGGTGTCTTTAGTCTGCTCGAAATTTCATATTGTTTTAGACTAAAATACATCTTAGTTATTAAGCTTGAAAATTATAGTGGAATTCTATGATATTCATGTAGTAATTTATGATTTTTAGTTATTCAAATTTATACATAAAACCTAAAAAAATGTTTTGTTTCATATTCTCCAAGTGCAAATTTTTTAAAGGCTTAGCCAACCTACGTCAAGCAACAACCAAGTACAAAGGTCATAACTAGAAGAGATAATTGTTTGCTTTACTTCTTTAGTTACTGACCTATGTTTTAAGAAAACCTTAGTTATGAACCTTTTTAAAGTAAAAAGATCAACCGTGGAATATTTACCTCACAAATAATTTCATTACAATCTATGTTTTCAATGACTGAACTTCATATATGTAATTCTTACAACACCTGAAATATGACAGCACACCTCAAAATGTTTGTGATAGAAAATATTTTAGTTACATGGCCAGCATAAGATCCCTTGAATTACAATATAAACTATGTACAGTAGAACCTCAATTAATGGGTACCTTGAAACAACAGGCATCATGCCATTAAGGTCAGACCTTTTCTGCCTCTTTCTATTTTCTACTATTTGTAACCAAAGTAAATCTTGCAATAACAGGCACTGATTAAGGGGAATGTGTTTAGTTTCATTCTCTATATGGGCACTTAATAAAACAGGTAGTTATCTTTGTATGCCTGTGCGATATACAACTAAATTCCAAACATCCCAGAAGGATGATCAATATTCAAACACTTACAATGTTTATTGAGTTAGCTCCGAACCATGTACTATAATAAATGTTTTCACAGATTCAAAGTGCAATCTTATTACTCTGGGGAATTCTCATTGTAAACACTGTAGGATACACAAGCTGGTAAATTCTGCATTATGTTCTCAGAGCAGGGGTCAAGTCAGCTTATTTCTGTGCATTGCTTTGTTGCTATCAAGACTATTGTATTATAGTGTCACATAATCAGTCTAATTACACAAACAATGATTTGTTGCTTTATTTCAGCAGATTTCTACTTCAGTCATTGACTGTAAAATAAATGTGAAATATTTAGCAGTTCAAACTCTGAAAAGAAGTACTTTGAAACTTAGTGACCAATAATAAAGAAAAAAAGAGCACAGTTAATACACTCCCTGAGACCTCCTGTTGACAATGCTCCATGTCATGAAATGTGAAATTCAGAAACACCTGTGTCCTGCATAAGCAAAATAAAATGGGAGGGGGGGGGGGGGTGGACTTAAAATTCAGAAATTTAGTACAGTGAATATGGAATCCAGTTTTATGTGGCTCATTTTTGATATTAGGGGCACCTTGCTATAGAAGACATTTAAATGCAATCTCAAGGGTGACCTTAATGTAGAGGTTCTACTGTACTTGAAAAATATTCATTTAGTGTTATTACCAAATCAAACTTAAACTCTTGTGGAATAACTTATGCTTCTAAGGGTGTTAGGCGAAGCAATATTTTCACATCACACTTGTCATTCATATATAACAAATATCAAAGAAATAAATTTAATCCACAACTTTCTAGAAGTTACATAAAGTTCCAAAAGAGTTGAAATGATAAAACGTCAGGTATGTTTATTTGTTTATTATCAAGCATAAAGCTACACAATGTAAAATCTATGCTGTTCCCACAGCAAGTATTGAAGTTTGTATGCCCTCACACTTATTACTCAGGGTAGAGTTCATCTTCAGTATGGAACCACTATGAACCTGTTTTGAAGTGAGTCATTATAATAAAAAAAAGGGACTAAGTAATTTCCACATATTCAAAATTAGAAAAAAAATCTAAGGTGGTTTTGTTAGAAGAGGTCAGAGAAATATTAAATATTTCAAGAAATAAATAGGAAAAAAGTGTGAAGTAAAAACCTTTGTAATCATGTGCTGGATACAGTAAATAGTCTTCCGGTAGAGAAAGGATATGTGTGTGTACCGAGTCATAGAGCCGTTCAGAATTACCTGCAATATAAACAGATATACAGTGACTGCTATGTATTTCATAATGCCTACAAGCATACATATATTTCTATATACTTTTCTACATGTGTGTGTGTGTGTATATATATATATATATATATATGCATAAAGACCTACACATGTGGATTTTATCCTTATTTTGAACAAATATAATTACATTTTATGACAAAAGACATTTTACCAAAATGTGTATAAATTAAGTTTACTGACAAATAAACAATCTCTTATGGGGAAAAAAAGAAAACTAGAATACAAATGTAATCTCATGTACGACTTGCTTCATTCTTGTGTTAAGATATTATCTACTGTAAAGAAATAGTATCCTACAAATTATTAATAAAATAAATACAAGGTTCTTAAAAAATTCTAAATATGGTAGTATGTAATAGTAGGGATTAACAACGATTTCAAATAATTCACGTGCTGAAAAACCACCCAATCAAATTCCTAATGGAAAAACTGACCATACAAAGTGTTGATTATGATATATAAAATACATATATAATAATAATATGCTAAAAAGGTCGTTAACTTCCAAAAATTTCTAAAACAGCAATTTTTTCATCTACTACCTACCTACCTGATCACGTCAGCGAGGCTAGCACCTAGACAGCTTGGATTATTGCTACAAGATTTCTCCAGCTTATTTGACTGGTTTGTGGGTATTCACTTTTGATATTCCAATAAAAATCCATATATATATATATATATATATATATATATATATATA